ATGATCTTCATCACCTTCTTCACTTGAATTCATTTCAGCCAAAACAAAAAAAAAAATTACTAGAATAAAACTTTATGAGATGAAAAAGTACAAAAAAAATATATATATGAAGGTGAAAGAAAGGGTTTTTATATTGAAAAAAAATAAATAATTGGTTAAGTCTATTTGGCATTTTATTTATGGGATTTTTCTAATTAGCCGGCTCTAAACATAGGTTAATTAAGGTATATTTTTTTACTTAGTTCCATTAATTTGATTTGGTTAATTTATGTTGTTATATAGTAATAGTACTAGCTGTTTAATTTATTTTAGTATTATTTTATTTTTTGCCGCGTCAATGTAAGTGATTGTGTAATAAATGTATTTAAGGATATGGAACATTTATAGTGTTTTCACACTTCTATTCTTTTGTCTTGGCTGTCAATTAATTTGCTATATATGATATGATTATGATTATGGTTATTTAATTACATGCAAACAGAATGCACATGACATCAGACGCGTTCATATGCTATTATTTACTTTTTATCAAGTCATATCCACAAATATCCTACACTCCCATGTAAAAATTAGAGTAACGATACAAGTTTTCTTTTTCTTCCATCAAGGGCATGAAGTGAGACTAGTTTAGTTACATGGGGTCATATATTATATTATGATATATATAATTTTTTAAAATATATATGATACTTACATTTTAAGAAAAACGACAATTTAACAAAAGCAAAACTCCCAAGAAATCATCAAAAAAAAATTATAGTAATCATAATTTTTTCAAGGATTCGTAAGGAATAAAAAGATTTCAAAAAATAAGTTTTTGCAAATCTTTTGTTACGGATTGTCTTTAAGAATCCCTAACAAATGACCACATAACGCCCTAAATATTTTTTTAAGGTTTTAATTTCTAACAAATAATTTTTTAAGGGTTAGATTCGAACGATATCGAGATCTCTCGTGGCTTTCTAGTTGCACTCTCATGTAAACATGTACACATAAAAGATTACATAACGCTCAAAACAATGTTTGGACTAAACGAGAGCGCAAAGACAATCAAGATCAAGTATTTCGTAATATATGACCTTTTGCCGTATAACATCATTATGGGGGGCTCTCCCTCACCCTGCTAAGGGCCGATTTGTCATAAACCTTACATTTGAGCATGAAATATCTACTACCCAATGGGAGGGTTAGGATAATTTAGAGGGATCAATCAACCACTTAAAAATGTTACAGAGCAATCTCGAAATAAGAATAGTAGAGATGGTCGTAGTTGATGTTCTACCACCAGGCGTGCAAGGGATGAATGTTGTGAATTTAGATCTCAAGATAGAGATAGAGAAGGAAAGAGTAACTCCCATAGAGGATCTAAAGAAGTTCTAAATTGGACCACAAGATTCTCAAGTCACCAGATTGGGCCACACCCAATCTGAAGCGAAAAAAGAGGGGTTGGTCGCCCTGCTGGGGAGGAACGTTAACTTGTTCGCCTGGACACACCCTGACATGCCAGATATAGACGCCAAAGTAATTTTTTATCGCCTCACCATCAACTCCATGATGAAACTTGTTTCTCAGAGAAAGCGTAATTGGGGCAAGGAGAAGTGGGCAGTGGTTGATGAAAAGGTCGAGAAGCTAAGGAGTGTAGGCTTCTTATCCAAGATCAAATATCCTTTTTATGCTCGTATGTCATTTTCTAATAAGAGTTTCGAAGCTGGAATTAAACAGAGCTCTTGATTCCACTTGTTAGACGATAGTGACTTATCTAGAGGGGGTTGAATATATCACAAATCTAAAATACCAATTAAAATTGGAGTTTTAAAAAAGTTAATTGAAAAGAGTGCAAGCGGAAGATTTTAATATAGATTGATAAAAGTCGTTTATACGAAACTAGTTATTGGAACTCAGATATGCAATTAATCCTTATGAAATGAACAAAACACTAATATGAATTTATACACTTGAAAAGAGAAACACAATATTATTCGTTTATAGCAAGTTACTACCAATTCTATTTCTAATAAAATTTAGCAAAAATAACGAATAATGCAATTTGTCAAATACTTGGTGTGCGAAGGAATTTTCATAATTTTCCTTGAGTTGTGTTGATATAGAAAAACACTTATAATCAAAGTGATTATAAGCTAATCAACAAACAATTCAAAACAAAAACAGTCACAAAAAAATTCTTACGCGTCGATCAATCAATGAATGTTATTTAACAAATTGTTGAATGAAAAGTAAAGTAATTAAAGAGATAAGAGAGAGCGACACGAGGATTTGTTTAAGAAGTTAACCAACTGTTCTCTCTATGGATACGTATCCCCCCAATTCCATTTTAGAATTATAATAATTTCTTACTATGCAAAAAGTTGATTACAAGATAAGTGTTCCAAGAATAACTCTACAAACTCTAACTGTTTATTTTTTATTCAACTCTTTCTCTTCTTTTGATCTTGAGTAAGACCAAGACACAATAGCTACCAATTGATTTATCTAATCTTGCTACTCGTTTGGATACCAAACTCACAAAGCTCTTTCACGCACGATCAATTGTAACTATTGAACACAAGCACTTTCAATTTGATTCGTCGTTCTCTCGCTACTTTCCTGGGTACCAAACTCTGAAGGCTTTTCACTTGGCTGTAGTCATCTTTTGAAAGTCTTGAACAAAATCCCCAAATCTACCAAATATCTTGAAGGACAAACCCTAGATTTTTCCTGATGAAATTCCCTATAATTTTCAACCAAATATTCTCGATTACACAAATACTTAATTGTACGTTGTCAAACCTCGCCTAGATGGAACCCCGACAAAAGATGATCATATGTGATTATCAGTGTGTATGCATAGGTTGAAGGTTAAAGGTGAAGAGAAATAGTGTGCTAAGTGTTTATAGTTTCATCAAATTGGAATGATGCATGAATGATGTATTTATAATTGTGAAAGTTTGTATGCAAACAGGTAATTTTTGGAATTAAAAAGAATTGAAAAATTGACTTAATCAAACAGTATGCGCCAGTCTGAAATACGTATGTACTGCAGGTACATAAGTCAAAAATTAACATTATGTGTCGACCTGAAAATGCAGATGTGCCAGCTTATGCAAGCCATTGGCTACAACCTTTAATACTGCAGTAGATGTGCCGGTCTGAAAATCGTATGTGCTGAGAAATAAAACTGAAAGTTATTGTATGTGACAGCCTGAGTGATGCATGTGTTGTCCTGTATCAAACAAAAGTTACAAGCTTCATTGTTAAGTTACATGTGTCGGTCTGAAATTCGTATGTGCCGGCACATGCAAACAATTTTTATGCAGAAAATTTATTTTCAAGGTTTTGGTCAATTTGAAAGTGGTTTTGAATGATTCCTAAGACCTTTAATGCAATGGAGTGCGATAGAGATACCGTCTAATATACAAAAATGCTAAATTTTCCTAGTTGTGATATCATGCAAAACATATCTAAAGACAAGTTGCACTCGCACATATGGGCACAGTGCCCAACATGTCATTTTCCATAGAAAAGTCATGCCTTCATTCCATGATTACCATCAGCGTGTTGTGGAATGTGTATGGTCCCTTCATCATGACTTCATCTCTATTTTTCCCATATTTGAACTTGAAGATGAAGTAACATTCGTCATTGTAATATATTTCTGGTAAGGACACAAAATTCCATTTCTCTAGCATATAATTTTTCACAATATTCTTACTCAAATTGGCACCAATCACATACATTATCAAAGAAGTTTCCCAAAATTATATCTCTGAAGCCACATCTTCCTCATCAATTTCCACTTCCACTCTGCCATCAACGATCTTCGGTGCTACAAATTCAATTTGCTTGCCATTTTTGAACTCAGGTTCCCACTCACACACACCCTCAATTTATGCTTCCCATCCTCTGATTTCTTCGATTCCACTGGTTCCTCAATTTTAGGGTTTTCCTCAAACCCTAGCATCACTGGTTCCGCTTTCTTATGTACTTCATTGCCTATTACTTCTGATACCATCGCAATCGTGGTTTCATCCTCCACCATGTTCGTAGCGCTGCCATTTCCACGGCTTATTCCCGACGACTGAGACGTCTTCTTTGACGATTTTCCCCGAAAAATCGCAAAAGATTTTCCCATCGCATCCTCACCCTATTGCACAATTTTTTTTTATCTTGTAATATTTATGTTCTCATACTCAGGTGTATGTTATCACTTTTGATCATGTTTTAGAAAAATAATCGTTTTACTTCATGGGGATAAAAACATCAAAAGTCTTATAGATGAATTATCAAATTCAATGTGCCTTTAATCAACTCAACTCAGACACTTTCCCAGTCTTCATGATATCCCTTAAACTTGAGAATGATTTGTTTAGCTCACATTTATTATTCTTAATTTGACAAGTCTTTGTTCAACTACTTGGTCATCTATTAAACCTAATTCAACTCATATTGTCATTATCTAACAACTTAGATTAATTTTAGGGATAACCAAATATATGTTGAAATTCTTTTGTAATTTTATTCTAGATTAAATCTATTTAATTCTATTAAATTGTAACTGATGCTTTAGTCATTCATAATATTACAATTTTAATAATGATTTTTATATAAAAAAAATTAATGTTTTTAGTCCTCAAATGGGGAGTAAAGGGGATTTTTATGTGATTAAATTTTAATCTCATAATTTTATAAGGATTAAAAATATGTTATTTATTTATATAAGAAAAAAAATAAGAATGGCACTTGTTGATAATTATTCTTGAAGCAAAAGAGATGAATGACACATTAGACTTGTGCTGTGGAATACCAATTTTTGAAAAACAAGTAATTTACACACATTTACATCGCAGAACATGTACACACATAAGCTTAAATAACATTTAGTAGTATAGAATGGAAAAGAAACTAGCTCCTTATTCTTATTCTTATTCTTATTATTGGAACATTATTAAATTTATGACTTGGAGCATATAAATTCCATGTATGATAAAGAGTGTAGAAAGTTTCTATCCAATAATTGGAGTCTGTTTAACAATTCCATCTTTATCAACCCAAACCCAAACTCTATCACAACGGAAGTCAAGAGGGACAGAAGATCCATCTGGAACAATTATGGCATTCACCAATGGATTCTCCTTCTCAATTCTACCCTCTGCAACCTTTCCATCAACTCCAACTAGTTCTGGCCATGAACTCTTACCTGTAAAGTACAAACAAACACAATATTAATTCATTCAACCATCAAATTATAATTCAACTTCACAAACCAATTAATTTATTACCTTTGCATTCATCATCAGACATTTTTTGACTTTTTGATTCTTGAATGTGTACTTTTTTTTGTTGTTGCAATTGTTGTGTTTGTGATATACAATATATTATGGGGGTATTTATAGTAGTTTTTGGGTGTAACCTTATGGTTTTTCTTTTTAATTAAGATAAGTTTTATTGGCTGCTGAATGGTGCATGATTTGACTATTCAGTTTTATTGTCAAAATTTATACGGGTAAGAATTTATCAAATTTTAAGATATCACGTAATTAGTGTTCTTGTTTAACAAGCATATGCATGTTGATTTTATTTTATTTTTAAACAAAAATGTAAATATATTTCTATTTAATTGTCATTTGCACAACAATTTTATATGGTATTCGTGCAGCCTTTTTGGATTAATGAGCTCTCTGGATTTGGATCATTTTGATCCTCTAGTCAAAATTCAATATTCTACCCGATGTTAATTAATTCAGGTAATGGATTTTTCAATATTCTATCTATAAGTCCGTCTACCTAAACCGACTATTTTATCGTTATCATTATCACAGGAAGTTAAGTGATTTTTGTAGAGATGTGAGGTTCCAGGTGAAAATAAACTCTTGCCTAGTTAGTGCAGATAATTTGTCACGACAGTTTGCTTCCCCTTCACGTCCTTTGGAGAGCTGGTAATACACGTTTGAGGATCTTCGTCTTCATCGCTTTTATAATAATCACTTTCTTCATGAAAACTCTCGGTTTTATCTGCATCTTCTTCCTCTTGAGGATGTTTGTCAGTGTTATCTTGTTTTGACAGCTGGTCTCGAAGCTTTCTCAGTTTTGCTTTCTTTGAATTTAAGACCCCCAAAAACTAAAACAGAATAACTTAAGCAGATTCAGTTGGATACATGACAGCAAAGACAAAAATGCAAGATTTGTAATATTAGCATAGTACAAGTAATGAAAAGCATCATAAATATATTGTTGCTTCGTTCATTTTACTAGTTTCACCAAAAATCTTGAATACTACTTCAAGTCATACTCATGTATATTAGAAATATTGATATATAAGAGTAGACATTTTTGTAAGAGACACACTATTTATTCATTTAAAATCTTAAGGTGATAAGTAAGTGAATTCTCCCACTTATATATGCTTAAGTCTCTACATTCTTATCCAATATGAGATTATTTCTCAATTTACTCACACTTACTTTATTCTTCCAACAGATATCTCCATGTTAAAATTACTAGCAAATAAAAATAATTTACTAGCAGATGAAGAAATGGTAAGGCCCCTTTAATACGTACAAAATAGTCACAACCACCTAAAATCCATTTCATATATATTCGACAACTAGTCCAAGAAGTTAGTTCTTTTAGAAATAATTGCCTAACAGTGACAACCTTAACAGAGAAATCCAATTTTGAGAGTGTCCTAAAATAAATAGTAGGCGTAAAATAAGTAGCATTCTCAAATGCCACAATTGTCCTATATATCCAACTTTGACCATAAACCTTTAACTCTTTGTTACCACCATATATATTTATAAATGAATAGATAGCAATTAGTGGACTGTCGAAATATTGGATATTGTAATTATGTTTCCTTAAACATTGGGCTGCAACATCACCTGCAACTGTAAACGACCGAATAAGTGTCAAACTTGTGCGAGTATCATATGTGAATTTTGCATCTTTCACCTCTTCGCAATCAGGATTCAATGAACATAAGCACTCAGAGACAATGGAAACAATATGGGCAGTTTGCATCTCCAAAATCTCTGAGATACGATTAGAAATAATTTGTATTTTAGGAATATCTAGGAATATCTTTTTATATCTTTGTTAGAGTGTATTTTAATATTTCATTATACCCTAATTTTGTTTATAAATAGCCTAGTAGTAGGTAGGTCAATGTAATTTATTGTAAATTCATTATTTCTTATTTTGTAGTCGTCATTAAATATATTTCTTTTGTCTTTCATCTCTCCTTGTGCATCAACAATTAGTATCAGAGCTCCGGTTCAAAATCCATGGGGAAACGGGAAACACGAGTGCACAGTGAGGTATTATTGAGAATCGTTTTTCTGATTCTGTGGGATTTAGAAAACACTTTTAGTGAATTTTTGAGTGAATTGCACAAGGTTGAAGATGAACGGAAACAACAATATAAATTCCAAGCTTTCAGCGTTTGGTGGCAAAAACTGGAATCGTTGGAAGATCTAGATGCGTGTATTATTTGATTCTTAAGATGTGTTAGATCTTGTCACTGATGGCTATGCTCCGTTAGAAGCAGAAACAACAGAAGCTCAGAAGATTACGCAGAAGGCGCTAAGAAAGAAAGACCAGAAGGCGTTGTTCTACACCCATCAATGTGTGGATGCGAACATGTTTGAGAAAATTATTGACTCTGAAACAGCAAAGGCTGCGTGGGACACACTGGTCAGATGTTACGGTGGTGACGCATCAGTAAAGAAGGTGAAACTTCAGTCTCTCAGAAAGTAATATGAGAATCTCAACATGAAGGACAACGAAAAAGTTTTTGAGTACATCTCTAGAGTGATTCTGATCACTAATGATATGGAAGCTTGTGGATAAACTCTTTCTGAACAAGTAATCATTGAGAAGATATTGAGATCTTTAACTTCTCAGTTTGATTATATTATGGTAGCAATTGAACATTCCAAAGATCTGAGCACCATGAGAGTTGAAGAGCTGCAAAACAGTTTAGAGGCGCATGAGTTGCGTATGACTGAGAGAACTTGTGATAGGGAAGTAGAGCAGCAGGCTCTGAAAGTAACTTCTGATAAGAAGTATCAGAAGCAGACTTGGTCAGAAGCTAGGAAGAAAACTAATGGTGGTCAAAAGTCAGAAGTTTCAAACTCTGATAAGCAGAAGAATGTCCAAAAGAGAAAGGAGAAGTCTGACAAGAAGAATGTCCAGTGTTACTGTTGCAAGAACTTTGGTCACTATGCCAAAGATTGCTGGTCGAACAAAGAAAGAAAGTCAAAAGAAGCAAATATAGCCAGAGGAGAATCTGATGATAAACCTGTGCTATTGTTGGCTACTGAACCTGGTAATATGAATTCATCAGAATAGGGTATATGGACACAGAGTGTTCAAACCATCTTACTGAAAACAAGAAATGGTTGGTTGATTTTGACTCTGGGAAGAGTACAAAGACCAGATGTGCTGATGATAAATACCTCAATGCAGAAGGTATGGGAAATGTCAGAATTATTCTAAATAATGGGAAAGCATCAGTGATCCAGAATGTGTGGTATGTACCTGGCATGAAAAGCAATTTGATGAGTGTGGGATAACTGATTGAGAAAGGTTTTTCGGTTAACATGAAGGACAATATTCTGAAGTTGTATGATTGTAATCAGAAGCTGATTATGGAGTCAGAACAGGAAAGGAACAGAATATTCAAGGTGAATGTTAGAACTGCATACTCTGAATGTCTTAGTGCAATAAATGTTGTCAAGGAGAGTGAGTTATGGCACAAAAGATTTGGTCATCTGAATTTCAGAAGCTTAGAGCATCTGAAATCAAAGAAGCTGGTACATGGAATTTCTACAATCAAGAAGCCTGAAAGTCATGCAAGGTATGCACGGAAGGGAAGCAACCAAGATTATCATTTGCATCAGAAGTAGCTCCAAGAGCAAAGCATGCCTTGGGAGTAGTGCATTCTGATGTATGCGGTCCATTTCCATTAGCATCAACTGGAGGGAATAATACTTTGTGTCATTTGTTGATGAGTTCACCAGAATGATATGGGTATCTCTCATAAAGTTCAAACACAAGGTGTTTTCTGAACTCAAGAAGTTCAGACTGAAGGTTGAGAATCAGAGTGGCCAGACTCTGGAAATTCTTAGAACTGATGGTGGTGGTGAGTATAACTCCACAAAATTCATAAGGTTCTGTGAGGAGAATGGAATTGAGAATGAGGTTACTGCTCCTTATACTCCTCAACACAATGGTCTTGCTGAAAGAAGAAACTGTACTTTGCTTGATATGATGAGAAGCATGCTGAAAGAGAAGAAGCTTCCTCATACTCTGTAGGGAGAAGTTGTTTCCACTGCATGTTATGTGCTCAACAGATGTCCAACGAAGTAGTTGAAGGAAATAGTTCCTATTCATAAGTGGACTGGAGATAAGCAAAGTGTTAGTCATCTGAAGGTTTTTGATTCTGTATGTTACAAACATGTCCCAGAAGCCAGAAGACATAAGCTGGATGATAGAAGTAAAGTAATGTTACTGGTGGAGTACCACAGTACAGGTTCGTACAAACTTTATTGTCCATAAACTAACAAAGTTGAGTTCAACAGAGACGTCATTGTAAAAGAATCAGAAGTCTAGAATTGGGAAAGGTCTCATCCTGACTCTGATGAGAGAACTCCTTAAGAAAATTCAGAAACACATGTTTCTGAAGACTCTAACTCTGAAGAAGATTCAGAAGGTGAAGATGATTCTGGCTCTGACTCCAATGGTGATTCAGAATCTGGGAATATTCCAGACTTTGAAGAGAGTCAAGGTTCTGAAGAAAGTCCAATTTCTGAAGCAAGAGCTTTTGAAGGAGAAAGTTCTGGTGTCCGAGGTTTGGAAGTTTAAATTCAGAAGTAACAAAGAGTCAAAAGAATCCCAGGAAGATTTGTAGAGTTTGACATGTTACAAGACACTGAAGTAGACTCCGAAGGAGAAATTATTCAAGGGAACAGTCTTGGCAGAATCAGCAGGGAAGGTTTCAGGGTGCGTGCGTGTAGGAGGTCAGGGGTTTGATCCCTGCCTCCTACATAATATTTTTCCTAACGTTTAACTACAGATCTGGTACTATAAGTCCAAATATGCCTACCATGCACCTCAATATCTCATCATTGGATCAATCTGTATCCAGATCCCACGTCTCAAGTATGCAGGCGCATGGTGGACTCTCTTGGCAAGCTTCCCACTGGATCAAACACAAGCAGATGGGCCAACTATTTTGGGCCTGGAAAATTCAACCACGCACCTCCCAGAATTACTTTCACACCAGGCCCATTTTATTACTT